GGGCTGTCTTTTCACTTTGCTTATAGTTTCCTTTGTTGTGCAAAAGCTTTTAAGTTTCATTAGGTCCCATTTGTTTATTTTTGCTTTTGTTTCTAAAATTCTGGGATGTGGGTCATAGAGGATCCTGCTGTGATTTACATCGGAGAGTGTTTTGCCTATGTTCTCCTCTAGGAGTTTTATAGTTTCTGGTCTTACATTTAGATCTTTAATCCATTTTGAGTTTATTTTTGTGTATGGTGTTAGAAAGTGTTCTAGTTTCATTCTTTTACAGGTGGTTGACCAGTTTTCCCAGCACCACTTGTTAAAGAGGTTGTCTTTTTTCCATTGTATATCCTTGCCTCCTTTGTCGAAGATAAGGTGACCATAGGTTCGTGGATTTATCTCTGGGCTTTCTATTCTGTTCCATTGATCTATATTTCTGTCTTTGTGCCAGTACCATACTGTCTTGATGACTGTGGCTTTGTAGTATAGTCTGAAGTCAGGCAGGTTGATTCCTCCAGTTCCATTCTTCTTTCTCAAGGTTACTTTGGCTATTCGAGGTTTTTTGTATTTCCATACAAATTGTGAAATTATTTGTTCTAGTTCTGTGAAAAATACCGTTGGTAGTTTGATAGGGATTGCATTGAATCTATAGATTGCTTTGGGTAGTATAGCCATTTTGACAATATTGATTCTTCCAATCCATGAACACGGTATATTTCTCCATCTGTTTGTGTCCTCTTTGATTTCTTTCATCAGTGTTTTATAGTTTTCTATGTATAGGTCTTTTGTTTCTTTAGGTAGATATACTCCTAAGTATTTTATTCTTTTTGTTGCAATGGTGAATGGTATTGTTTCCTTAATTTCTCTTTCTGTTAAAAATTTAGGGAAGAGCTAACACCTATCTTACTCAAACTCTTCCAGAAAATTGCAGAAGAAGGTAAACTTCCAAACTCATTCTATGAGGCCACCATCATCCTAATTCCAAAACCAGACAAAGATGCTACAAAAGAAGAAAACTACAGGCCAATATCACTGATGAACATAGATGCAAAAATCCTTAACAAAATTCTAGCAAACAGAATCCAACAACATATTTAAAAAATCATACATCATGACCAAGTGGGCTTTATCCCAGGAATGCAAGGATTCTTTAATATCTGCAAATCAATCAATGTAATACACCACATTAACAAATTGAAAGATAAAAACCATATGATTATCTCAATAGATGCAGAAAAAGCCTTTGACAAAATTCAACACCCATTTATGATTAAAACTCTCCAGAAAGCAGGAATAGAAGGAACATACCTCAACATAATAAAAGCTATATATGACAAACCCACAGCAAGCATCACCCTCAATGGTGAAAAACTGAAAGCATTTCCCCTGAAATCAGGAACAAGACAAGGGTGCCCACTCTCACCACTACTATTCAACATAGTTTTGGAAGTGTTGGCCATAGCAATCAGGGCAGAAAAAGAAGTAAAAGGAATCCAGATAGGAAAAGAAGAAGTGAAACTCTCTCTGTTTGCAGATGACATGATCCTCTACATAGTAAACCCTAAAGACTCTACCAGAAAATTACTAGAGCTAATCAACGAATACAGTAAAGTTGTAGGATATAAAATTAACACACAGAAATCTCTTGCATTCCTATACACTTCCCTTCCTATTTAAAGTGAATTGAGAATCTGTTCTGTTGAGCTACCTCTGCCACGGCTCAAACTCCCAGTTTACTCAGGGGCATGCCTGTAGCAGAGGACTAACCTGTCCTCGAGTCCACTGTCTCTAGAAATGCAGGTGATACAAGGCCCTGTAGAAAGTGGAGGTTCTCCAAAGACCTTGGCAGGCCCTGTAGGCTGTTGAGAGAGGATAGTGAAAATTCCTCCTGATGCCTGGTACACAGAGGGGTCTAGCAGGGGCAACCCATCCACATGGGCTGCACTTGCAATTCAGCCCAACACTGACACCATCTGGATGGAAACAGGAACAAACCATTGTAACCAGTGGGCTGAACTTGGAGCATTTTAGCTGGTACTCAAGAACCTTGGCCATTACCCTTTGCACTGAAAGTTGGGCCATTTTATAGGGATTAATCCTATGGCTTGGACAATGGAAAACTGATGGGTAGATGATCATGAATAAGCCCTTGCAGGGGCAGGATATATGGAAAGATATTTGATTTCTCCTCCAAGAGCCTGTGACAATCCTCACTGTTTTCCACATCCCAGCTCACAAGGTGCTGATACCCCCCAGTAATTAGGAAAGCTGATGCTCAGTAGATACAGCAGCTTGTATACATAGAAAGTGTGGCCACCCTGGAGCATGGGGGGATGGCGTAATGCCAAGGAAGCCAGATTGACCTTGAGATACCGTGACGTGATGAATGCAGTCACAGCACATCTGTGTGTTCTAATGTGTGCACAAGGCAACTCCCAAAGGACTCTGGGACAATGCCCTTGATTTCCCAGCTGGCTAGGGACAGGCAAATTGATTATATTGAGACTATCCTTCTGAGTGAGGGTTCTAGATATGCCTTGGTTTGTGTGGACATTCTGTCTGGTCTAACCTAAGCTTTCTCCTGTGCCTGCATAAACCAGGTTGTCAGCCTTGTGTGATTAGAGAAACGGAGTGTCATGTTTGGATACCTTCACCAAAGAGACAGAGGGTGGGTCACATTTTGAAGGTTGTATGTGCAAGACCGGGCAAAAGAACATGACATCCAATGGAGGTTCTATCTCCTCTATAACCTGTTGGCAGTGTTGTTGGTAGAAAGGAAAAATGGAATATTAAAGCAGCAGATTAAATTACCAATAGGTAAAACTGCCTTGGCTGGGTGGACTAAAGTACTTCCTCGGGCTTTAATACATTTGAATGATTTGAATGATCAACCAGTAGGGCATGATGACCCAGATGCCAGACTTGGGACCCCTGCTGAGATACCCCGCGTTGTAAAGGCAAAGTAACGGTGGGATACAGACACTGCCCTGCCTCTCACCTTGCACCAAAGTGCTCTGCTGCTAAGCCCCTATCACAGCTGGGAGAGGCCTTACCTCCTGGCATTTACAGTGGGATGTTCCACTGGGATGGTGAGTTACTTTGTACCCCTGAGTGAGGGAAACTACTCAGTCTCCACTAGGATCCTGCTGTCCTGCTGCTAATCAGGCCTATTGAAACGTGGAATGGAACCTGTACCTGGAATGGAACCCACGGCGCTGAAAGAGGGGAGAAGGTATGTGTCCTGGTCTGACAAGTTCCTACTAAAAGGAATCAAAAGCCCATACCCATACTGCCTAAGTTCTCAGTTTGAGTTTCTCTAGATAAGACTGGAACTTTCTTCTGTTTGTTCATACTGTGTTCCTTCTGTGAAATTACTACTCATATTTTGTTCATTTTTATTAGATTTCATATCTTCCTATGTGGAATATATTTGTTCAAATCTTTTGCCATTTATTTCCCTTTTGGGGGTACTAGTTTTCTTCTTGTTGATGGGTAGAAATTCTTTGTTTTTTATACTAATGAAGTGTTGTGTGAGTTGTAAATATTTTCTACTTTAAATTTTTGACATATCTTTTTATGTATAGAAATTTTTCACTTTAACATGCTTGAGCTAATCTATGTTTCTTTATTGGTTTCTGTTTTTAATCTTTTGTATAGTATTGTTTTTATAATTTTCTGGACACAAGGCTTGAAAAACATCTTTTGTTAATTTATTTATGTTTACTATGACTTTTGTCAGAATAGCGTTTAGAGTTATTTCACATTTTTTTTTACATAATCTAAGTTCATATAAATTAAATTACAGTTTGTCCTCACTCTAGAGTATAGGGCCAGTAATTTGCAACAAAACTTCTCAGGTTCCTAAAGAACCACTTTAACTTTAAATGTAAGTCTTTAAATGTAAGTACTCATATCAACTATATCTTATCTTACTATTATAATTGAGATCTAGTGTCCAGAATAGGAGAAAACTGAGCCTCACTCTACAGAGCTTTGTTTTAAACTATAATTCCAGGTGTGCTACACACTGCTTTGGCTGAAATCTAGGTAGTAGGCTTTACAGTCTAGAAGGGTCAGATGTGTACAGGACTCCATCCATGAAGCCAAAAACTGCCCTGGTGTAAATGTGCCACCAGGATCCATTTCAAAACAGTGCCTCCTCTTGCCAAGGTCAGTGGCTATCACCGAAGTAACCAGAGAATGCTCATATTCTCCCTCTCAAAGAGGCAACCTCTTTGCAACATTAAATTTCAGCACTTTTTGTCCCTTTCTTTTCAGTGATGGAAATCTTTTTTTGTTGTTGTTTGTTTACCCTTTCAAAGAAAAGATTACCACCTTCCTTTGAGAGGTGTTGACAGAGAGAAAAATATGTTTTTAATTTCCCAGAAAATAAGGAAACATTTCCTTATTTTCTGGGAAAGTTTTATTTTCAAAGAAGCTGAGAAAATGAACACACTACCTCCAGGTTTCCCCACATTGGGATTGATTGCTAAACTGAATGTGTGTCAGCTTTGCTGCTTAAACATGAACTCTAGGTGTAAGAGTATCTTCTTTATTTACTCATTTAATTTACTGATTCGACTTAGCAGTCAGTATTTCTCACCTTTCTAAAAGTGCTTTCCATACACTTCCCTCTGCACATGTAATTGGGATAAAGCTCTAGAATTGAAGGTATTTAAAATGAGGCAGATAAGTACATATGGGATGAAGCCAGATTTGTTTTGAATACCACATACATGATCAGTTTAGTTTTGTTTCAAACATGAGCCTCACATACAGCCCTTTTGACCTGAGTACTCCATCCCTAAATGGCAAACTAAACATTCATGAAAATTTAATGGCAAGGAAATTAGTACCTTCTTATGTTTCAGACTCTGAACTGGCACCAGGGAGCACTTTCAGCAACAGGCAGAAGTGTGTGAATGTGCTGGACCAGACCTGAAACATTTGTCCCTCCAACCTGTCTTTCCTTTTCAAGTTAACTGGCAGCTGAGACGTTCTGAAAGGATACCACCAGGATGCCACCCAAGAAAGGTATTTCAAAATAAAGGCCTCGTTGTAGGATATTCTACCTTTCTTAGAGATTAGGCACTTTAAAAGTTTGTTTCATAATTTTTGTTTTCCTTTTGGGGTAACTCCCCTTTCTATTTTTCTGTGGGTAGGGCCCTTTTGTTTCTTGAGAAACTGGGATGGGTTAAATATTTCTTCAACTTCTTTGCTTTAATGGATGTGTGATTTCACCAACTCAAATTTACCTTCCTTTCATTTAGGAAGACAATGGGGGAAAGCAAAATACACTGAGATTCCAGTGCAACAACTCAGACTAGGGGTTTAGTCCATAGCAGTGATCTCTTGTTGGACTGGTGTGTGGAGCAACTTTGTGAGGGAGACCTGTCTAGCTTCAGTTTGTGAATTAGATATAGTTCTGAGTTCAGTAAAGTTGATGAGCAGAGCAAAGAGGATTAAGACAGAGAAAGCTAAGAAGAGAGACATAAAACCCTATTGGGGGAGGCATTTATATGAAGGGAAGCAATGTGATGAAGCACTTTTGGTTCCTATGATTTGTCATAGAGATGCATTTTTAGTACCATGGAGATAGTGGTTAGCATGTTCAGCTGTTATTCTATGATGCTAACACAGTTTGATCTGTTGTCAGCCTCATTTCAGTACCCAAAAGACAAACTGGTAAAAATGTTAAATATGGAAAACCGGGAAATACATATTTGCTTTTCAGCATAGAACTTCCAATCCAAATGGCCTTGGTCTCCATCGTTCCGTTAACCAACTTATTTAATCTTAGAATGGAAAGTGGAGACACTAGAGATCTCATTTTGCTGTTTAGTCTCTAAGTTGTGTCTGACTCTTTGCGACTCCATGGACTGCAGCATGCCAGGCTTCCTTGTCCTTCACTATCTCCCAGAGTTTTCTCAAACTCATGTCCATTGAGTCGGTGATGCTATCCAACCATCTCATCCTCTATCGCCTTCTTCTCCTTCTGCCCTCAATCTTTCCCAGCATCAGGATCTTTTCCAATGAGTTGGCTCTTTGTGTCAGGTGGCCAGAGTATTGGAGCTCATTTAGAGATAACCTATTAAAGTCATCCAGACCTAGCTCTTGAGAGTCTGAACAGTATCCTACTTAATATGCTCACTTATTTTGTTGACTTCAAACATCTGGGCAGTTTTAGGAGTATTATTATCAAAAAAGTCATTGCTTTTAAAATGCAAAAACAAAATCAACCACTTCTTTTGAATCTCAGCACATTTTTCCAAAGAAGGTATTAGACATAGCTCATATTTGTATATTAACTTTTAACAGGTGAGGTTGGTTTTTCATTAGTAAGTGTAGAGTTCAAATTTTATATCAGATGTTCAACTTCAGCACCTTTAAGATGTTCCAACATTGAGTCCTCAAATTTCTTAGTCTATTTTTGTAATGAAGGTATTGGCAGGCTCTTTTTGGATCTCCAACAATTTTTACAAAATCTTGCAATATGGCTGCTTAGGCTATCTTAACCATTTGTAAATGTGATCCTAATCCTGAATTGTAATTTAAAATATTAAATATTGAGATCTTTCCCCACTCTCTCTCTCTCAGCTGTTTGAAACAGATTAACAAAGTGTTAATTGGAAAAGCTCTTGGAAATTTTCCTTTACTACATCAATAGATGCTGTGATTTACAGATAGAAACTGCCTATTGATAAATGGTGGTCCTAGATGTCTTAGATGAGTAATGTTTGTAAAACCTATTTGTAAACTCTGATATAGCATACATAATAAAAGTGGCAATCACCATCATGTTTGTTTACTATTGTTTGGCCATATGATTTTTTTCAACAGTGCAAAAATTTGTGGTGCTCTAATAAATGATCTTTTATCATATTTAAAGTTGGAGAGATAGCATTTTCTGTAAGACACAAATAATATATAGCTGTGTTGGGATTATTAATTTCCATAGAAATATATTTTATTTGTTCATTCATTTGGTCATGTATTGGTGCATTCAACAAGCAATTCATTTGATTCTTTTTATGTGCTTTGGGAAGAATGAGATGTGACAGAGTTCTTTTTCTTGAAGAGTTTATAGATTGATGTGTTTGGGGCAGTACTGAATAATTATCAAAACAAAACTAGAGTCAGAAACATTACTTTGCAAGTTCTTGAGGGCCTTGAAAAATAGGAACATTGAGGTGTTTGATTCCAACTTGGCCTGTGCTTTAAGGATTTCCCTGAAGTGGAGAGCACTTCCTGGGTCTAAAATGCCCATTAGTGATGACAAAGGATGGTATTCCTATGACTGATAAAATGTTGGCATTGTTTTATTTTATTTTTTAAAAATTTATTTTATTTTATTTTTTTACAGAATTTTTTTTGTGTGTGTGTTTATTTATTTTTTTCCCAATTATTTTTATTAGTTGGAGGCTAATTATTTACAATATTGTAGTGGTTTTTGCCATACATTGACATGGATCAGCCATGGATTTACATGTGTTCCATTGTTTTATTTTCATTCTTTCATTCCACTTTAAAAAATCATGTTATTGAGTATAATTTGTGCACATTGAACTGTATATATTTAAAATATACCATTTGTCATGTTTTGACAAATGTATGCATGACATAATGACCATCACAATCAAGATTTCCACTTCCCCCAAATGTTCCTTGTGCCCTTTTGGCATAAATCCACACAGTCTTCACCTACTTCACATATAAACCCTAATACCCTTTTTTTCACTGTCAATTATCTTGCATTATATAGAATTTCATGTAAATGGAAACATGCAGTATGTACTCTTTTGTGTCTGCTCCCTTATATTTAGCATAATGCTTTCAAAATTCATTCATATTTCAGTAGTGTTTCTTTTATTGCTGAGTATTCCATTGTATGGTACACCACAGTTTGTTTATCCACTCACTTGTTGATGAACATTTGAGTTGTTTCTAATTTGGGCTACTATTAATAACACTTCTGTGGACATTTGAGTATGTGTCTTTGTGTGAATGTATGAACTGAATGTACGAATTGAAATCAGATTGATTATATTCTTTGCAGCCAAAGATGGAGAAACTCTATACAGTCAGCAAAAACAAGACTGGGAGCTGACTATGGCTCAGATCATGAACTCCTTATTGCCAAATTCAGACTTAAACTGAAGAAAGTAGGGGAAACCACTAGATCATTCAGGTATGACCTTAATCAAATTCCTTACAATTATACAGTGGAAGTGACAAATAGATTCAAGGGATTAGATCGGATAGAGTGCCTGAAAAACTATGGACAGAGGTTCATGACATTGTACAGTAGGCAGTGATTAAGACCATCCCCAAGAAAAAGAAATGCAAAAAGGCAAAATGGTTGTCTTGAGGAGGTGTTACAAATAGCTGAGAAAAGAAGAGAAGCAAAAGGCAAAGGAGAAAAGGGAAGATATACCCATTTGAATGCAGAGTTCCAAAGAATAGCAAGGAGAGATAAGAAACCTTCCTCAGCAATCAGTGCAAAGAAATAGAGTGAAACAATAGAATGGAAAAGACTAGAGATCTTATCAAGAAAATTGGAGACACCAAGGGAATATATCATGCAAAGATGGGCACAATAAAGGACAGAAATGGTATGGACCTAACAGAAGCAGAAGATATTAAAAAGAGGTGGCAATAGTACACAGAAGAACTATACAAAAAAGATCTTCATGACCCAGATAATCATGATGGTGTGATCACTCACCTAGAGCCAGACATCCTGAAATGTGAAGTTAAGTGGGCCTTTGGAAGCATCACTATGAACAAAGCTAGCAGAAGTGAATGAATTCCAGTTGAGCTATTTCAAATCCTAAAAGATGATGCTGTGAAAGGGCTGCACTCAATATGCCAGCAAATTTGGAAAACTCAACCGTGGCCACAGGACTGGAAAAGGTCAGTTTTCTTTCCAATCCCAAAGAAAGGCAATGCCAAAGAATTTTCAAACTCCCACACAATTGCACTCATCTCACATGCTAGCAAAGCAATGCTCAAAATTCTCCAAGCCAGGCTTCTGCAGTACGTGGACAGTGAACTTCCAGATGTTCAAGTTGGATTTAGAAAAGGCAGAGGAACCAGAGATCAAATTGCCAGCATCTGTTGGATCATCGAAAAAGTGAGAGAGTTCAGAAAAACATCTACTTCTGCTTTATTGACTATGCCAAAGCCTTTGGCTGTGTGGATCACAACAAACTGTGGAAAATTCTTAAAGAGATGGGAATACCAGACCACTTGACTCACCTCCTGAAAAATCTGTATGCAGGTCAAGAAGCAACAGTTAGAACTGGACATGGAACAACAGACTTGTTCCGAATAAGGAAATGAGTACATCAAGGCTGTATATTGTCACCCTGCTTATTTAACTTATATGCAGAGTACATCATGAGAAATGCCAGGCTGGATGAAGCAAGACTGCCAGGAGAAATATCAATAATCTCAGATATGCAGATGACACCACCCTTATGGCAGAAAGCGAAGAAGAACTAAAGAGCCTCTTGATGAAAGTGAAACAGGAGAGTGAAAAAGTTGACTTAAAACAACATTCAGAAAACTAAGATCATGGCATCTGGTCCCATCACTTCATGGCAAATAGATGGGGAAACAATGGAAACAGTGACAGACTATTTTGGGGGGCTCCAAAATCATGCAGATGGTGACTGCAGTCATGAAATTAAAAGACGCTTGCTCCTTCAAAGAAAAGTTATGACCAACCTAGACAGCATATTAAAAAGCAGAGACGTTACTTTGCTAACAAAGGTACATCTGGTCAGAGGTCTTTCTAGTCAGGTTTTTCCAGTAGTCATGTATGGATGTGAGAGTTGGACTATAAAGAAAGCTGAGCACCAAAGAACTGATGCTTTTGAACTGTGGTGTTGGAGAAGACTCTTGAGAGTCCCTTGTACAGCAAGGAGATCCAATCAGTACATCCTAAAGGAAATCAATCCTGAATATTCATTGGAAGGACTGATGCTGAAGCTGAAACTCCAATGCCTTGGAGTATGCAAAGGACTGATGCA